TCCGTTGTTGATTACTGACGGCCCTGATCACAAACACGACATTCACTTTTGGCTTTCATGCCATATGGAGTCAGTTTGGCGACCCAAAGCACAACGCAACTAATAATGCCGCTGAAACCAACAATCAGGAGTATCCTTCAGGAGTGTTCCACAATGGCTCCTTTCCTTCAGAAATAACATGTTTTGGTAAGAATAGGTCTCCTAGCCCCGCAAAAGTGCTTTTAGGATGTGCAGGGAGCATTTTTGAGAAAATGCAAATTGACAATTAAGGGATCCGAACCCTTTGACCTTGCACACATGAGGCCGGTCGCTTCTCCACTACGCTCACCCATCATTTAGATACTTGCTGAGCATTGGTGGTCTCGAGCAGTGGTCTGCTCAACAAGCCTCCATAATTCTGCTCGGAGAATCGTTTAGCAGATTTGGAGGACAGATTTGAAATCAGTGTCCAAAGACGCATCAGCCGGTATACATCTCATTTCAAATGGCCACTTCGACCAACCATCCTTTCCTGGTTAGGGAGGGAGCAGGCTCCCGTTGTTTTTTCTGTTCTAACCTTTCATTCATTTTCCCTGTATCATTTTGCAGCACAAGTATCACGTGAGGAACATTCGCGCGTACTCAGATTTGAAAAAACACAATGAATTCATTTGCGTGCTACTCTGCTCCTATTAATAAAATTCGCCTTGCTCCTGCTAACTAGTGTGACTCTAAACAAGGGGCGGCAACACACGCGCACCTGTTCAAAATGAACACCTATTTCAGCTAAAGAAGAGGCAGAGAAAGAGCAAGGTACTCTTCTTGACAAGTTTACGAGTGCCACATCTGACTGCTACAGAGAAAGATGGTTATAAACGTACATATTACTCTTTTGGGACAGTTCATGCAGTGGAGGGTGAGCGAATTTGAAGCAAATGTCACTGACTTGAATAAGTTCTGTGACGTGAGTTCATTGATAGATACAAGCGCTTCGACCTTTTCTACTAAGAACTAATCATCCTTGTACTTTGACTGGAACTTTGACTGTACCTCCTTTCAGGTGACACTCCGAATAGGTGATTTAGTCTCGATGTTAAGGTTCTTCCTCACGGTTATGCAGTTTCGAGTGAAGACTTCGATAATGAAACTGAATTTCGGGAGATAGTTCGCAGGGTCAGCGTTGAATTTATGTTCCAAGAAAAACTGCGTAGATGGCGTTATCAGAAGTTGCTAGTTGTTTGAAGTGACATGAAAAACTGTTCCAGCTCTCTCCGAAAGTCCCAGTGCGAGTGCCTGCCAGGCGAGATCCTAGAAGCAGGGAGAAACCGAGCGAAGAATGTAAACCTCATAAGGACCCCAAGGCTTATGGAAGATTCTTTTTTCACGCTGATGAAGCCAAGAGATACAGTAGGTTTCGATGGGGCCATTTCAAATCATCCCATCACTATAGTTCATAGTCCAGTTTTTCTTCTAATTCAAATATTAGGTTGTCCGGAAAGTTCTTAGCGTTTTGGGTGTTTAACTTTAAACGATCATAACTTTCTTAACACTCATCGGATTTAATCCAAATAAGCACCATTCGAATCAGCACACTTTTGCCAATGTGACAGCAGTCGAGAAATCCCATCAAAAAACTGGGTGGTCGAGAATCCACGAAATCTGCGAAGGTCTTTTTTGCCTGGTCCTGTTTGATGAAGTATTTCTCAGCAGGAAAGTTCTGAAAATGTCTGAAAAGGTGACAGTCGGTTGGTGAAAGGTCTAGAGAATATGGTGGGTGAGGTAGAACTTCAACTCCCAATTCGTTCAATTTATGGATAGTGATTTGTGAAACGTGTGGGCGGGCGTTGTCATGCAAAAGAATCGGACCCTTTCTTTTGATAAGTGTTGGCTGCAGCTGACAATATTTTCGGTACATTTGGTCGGTTTGTTCACAGTAGGGTTCTGCTGTGATGGTTTGAATAGAATGATGAAAAGTTATAGTGGATTACAACAGCCGATGACCACCAAACCTGACCAGAATTTTTTTTTCGCGAGGGTTCGGCTTTGAAAATTACCTCGGTGGTTCCTCCAAATCCAACCACTGTCCGGAACGTCTCCTGTTATCATACATGATCCATTTTTCATCACAGGTGACAAATCCGTTCAAAAACGGGTCAATTCTTTTGCGCAAAAGCAGTGAAGAAGGAACCTCGAGACGTGCCGATTCCTGCCGGTCACTCCGATTGTGGGGCACCCAATTGTCGAGTTTTTTCACCTTCCCAATGCGTTCCAGACCATCTGCAACAGTGGATTTGCCAACGCCTAGCTCTTCTGCTATCTCTCGAACTGTTTGGGATAGATCAGCCTCCGAAATCCCCTCAAAATCCTCGTCAGAATTGCTTTAGGTCGATCGCTATGAGGTTCACCTTCAAGGCTGAAATTTCCAGAACGACATTTGTTGAGCCATTGCGGCACAGTGCTTTCTTGCAAAGGCACTATTGGGCCTCCACACCTGGTGTATTTGTTGAGCTGTTTCGATTGCGGATTGCCCAATTTATAGCCGAAGAAAAAAATCGTCCGAAGTGCTCTTTTCACATGCTTGAAAAAATCTTGAAAAAAGAGGGTTTATCAAGCAATGGTGAAACGGCAATTATACCATCAGATAGCGCAAGAAATTCTCTACAGGATGTGCTACTGAGAAGCAAGGCAGAATGAGTTTTTAATCAGCAGTGAATGTACAAAGATTAGGTGCACAAAACGCTAAGAACTTTCCGGACAACCTAATACTTCGCCGGCTTTCGCCTCATTGAG